CCATTTCCTTCAAAGCAGCCTGAACTTCTTCTTTCATCACCATAGGCTCTTGCTCATATGTTGTTTCATGAAATTCTTCTGTGTCTTCCAATTCCTTTCGGTACAGTGACTCAGTAAAGCAACAAGAATCAGCTTGAAGCCTTGTTGTGGAGAGATTGGCATAGGGTTTCATTTCTCAAGATGGGGGAATCCTGCCATAAAAATGTGTGTGTGCGCGCGTGCACGCACACACACGTGTGCATGCTCACGTGTGCGCAGAGGGGGGGAAGTAAGACTTCCTTGTGAAATGAACCAAGACCTTAAGGGGTGTGAGAGAAGAAGCTGAGAGCTTTCCCAGGCCGGAGACTAAGTCTTCTTTCCTTGTGAATGGAATGATTGGCAGAGTTCTGCTGCAGAGCCTCTCCCTTTAGGAATCCCTTAGGAATGTTCTCAGCCGGTGGTTTTCAGTCATGGGCTGCTATACCCTTCCCTACCACACAGGCCATTTGACAGTTGTTGTTGTTGTTATATGCCATTGAGTCTACTACGACTCAGTGACCCTATGATCAATAGGCCTGAATCTGGCTCTAGCCTGAGCCAACCTCATCTGCTTTGAAACACCTGCCCCCATTGCCACGGTTACTGTGTCAATCATCCCATCCTGGTCTTCTCCTGCACTGCTCCTCTACCCTTGCAAGCATGATGTCCCTCTCCAAGGACTAGTCCCTCTTGGCAACATACCCTAAGTATATGAGATGGAGTCTCAAAATTCTTGCCTACAAGGAGCAACCCTCTGCAGGTTTCACCCTCTCTACAAGGTTTCACCCTCTCCACAACAGACCTGTTTGTTCTCTTAGCAGCCCATTGTATGTTCCATACTCTTTTTCCAGCACCACAACTCAAAGGCATCAATTCTTCTGTCAGCCTTAGTCATTGCCCAGCTCAGGTACATAGCAAGTAATTGACAAGAGCCTGGCCTGCTTCAACTGCACCTTAGTCTGACTGACATTTTTTGCTCTTTAGCACTTTGAAGAGGTATCTGACAGCAGACTTCCTTAAAGCAATTAATCTATTTCGTTCATTTGCATTGTACTTGGCAGTGTCTGGAGTAATTTCTGGTTGTCACATCTTCACATGGGAGTTGCTACTAGTATCCAGTAGGTAGAGGACATGAAGCTGCAAAACATCCTACAAAATGCAGGAAAGTGTTCCACAATGTCAGTATGAGGTCGCTGTATGCCGTGGAGTGTTTGTGACCCTTACGGGCCCTAGAGGACAGAGTAGAAGTGCCCAGGTGGCTTCCTGAGCTGTCATTTTCACAGGAGCAGATCGCTTGAGCTTTTCTTCTATGGAACCACTGTGTAGGACCCAATTGCCAACATTTTGACGTGCAGCCAAACGTTTAACCATTGCATCGCTCGAGCTTCATACCATGTCAGGAGTGGCCTGAAATGTTAATCGTTTGAGTTTGAGACACTCTAGTCTTACAGTTAGACCAGTGATTCTCCAACTGTGTCTACCAGACCAAACGCTTCAGCATCACCTGGAGGTTTGTTGGAAATGCAAATTTCACACCCTCCCTTGTTGTTGTTGAGTGCTATCGAGTCAAGAGTGTTTGACAGCGACCCTATGAGCAACAGACCTGACCCTGTCCTAGCCTGTACCACCCTCATCATTTCTGACACCGTGAGCCCGTGGTTGCAGTCACTGTGTCTATCCAGCTCATTGGGGGTCTTCCTCTTATTTTGCTGACCCTCCACCCCTCCAAGGTGTGACTTTCCAAGGAACTTTCCTAGAAACATGTCCAAGAGATGTGAGCTGGCGCCTCACCATCCCTGCCTCTAAGGAGCACTCTGGCAGCACTTTCCCCAAGACATGTCTGTTCAGGTTTTTTGTAATCCATGGGATATTGTGCTAAAGCGAAACCTTGGACCAGGAGGCAGTCATCAGAACAGAGCAAGGAAACACTGCATGGTTCAAAATTGGGAAGGGTGTACGCCAGGGATGTGTCCTATCTCCATACCTTTTCAATTTTTATGCAGAATAGATTATCTGGGAGGTTGGGCTCTATGAGGAGAAATGAGGCATCAGGATTGGAGGAAGACTCATCAACAATGTACATTATGCAGATGACACAACCCTGCTTGCTGAAACTGAGGAGAACCTGAAGCACTTGCTGTACAAGGTCAGGGACTGCAGCCTTCAATATGGATTGAGGGTCAATATCAAGAAAACAAAGATTCTCAACACTGGGCCAAATGGCAGCATCAGGATGGATGGTGAAGAGATTGAGATTGTTCACAGCTTTAGTTTGCTTGGCTCCACAGTCAACACTCTTGGCATCAGCAGCCAGGATATTAAAAGACATATTGCAATGGGAAAGTCTGTGATTAGAGACGTCTCTAAAGTACTGAAGAGCAACAATGTCAGTCTGGAGACTAAGGTGCGCCTGATACATGCCATGGTCTTTGCAATCACTTGAATGACTAGGAAGGATAGAAGGAGAATTGATGTCTTTGAGCTGTGGTGTTGGAGAATAGTATTGAATACACATACCATGGACTGTTAAGGAAAAGAACAGATTTGTCCTGGAGAGGGTGAAGCTGGGCTGCTCCTTAGAGGCAAGGATTCTGAAGCTTCATCTGACATACTTTGGACATGTTGCAAGGAGGGACCAGTCCTTGAAGAGGGACGTCATGCTTGGGAGGGTGGAGGGACGGTGCAGGAGAGGAAGACCCTCGATGAGATGGATTGATTCAGTCACTGGGGTAGTGGAGGTAGGTGTATCAGAGACAGTGAGATTGGCACAGGATAGAGCAGGGTTTAGGGCTGTTGTACATGTTGTCGCTATGAGTTGCAGGTGACTCGACAGCACATAACAACAACAACAGTGGGATATTCAGTGCTTTTTTCCAACACCACAATTCAAAGGCATAGATTCTTTTCTGTCATCCTTTTCACTGTCTGATGTATACAAAGTGGTTGAAAAGATCATGGCCTGAATCAGGTGCAACTTAGTTTTCAAACTGATGTCACTATTTTTTAGTATTTTGGAGAGGTCCCTGACAGTGGATTTGCCCAAAGGAAATAAAAAAACAGGATCTGTTGATACCGAGGGTGTTGATTGTGGATCCAAGTTAAGATGAAATAATTGACAGTTTCAGTCCTCATCATGTTATCTGTTGGGCCACTGTTAAGGACCTTTGTGTTCTTGCTGTTTAGATGTAATCTGTATTGAAGGCTGCAGTCTTTGATCTTCTGCAGCCAAGTGCTTCAAGTCCTTCTCACTTTCAGTAAGCAAATTTGCATCATCTGCATAATGGAGCTTGTTGACAAATCTGCCTCTACATGCTTCTCCAATTATTTGCTCAGCATAGATTGAATAGGTATGGAGAAAAGATACAACCCTTATGCACACCCTTCCTGTTCGGTTCCTTGTTCTGTTCATACAACAGCTTCTTGGTCTAGGTATAGGGTTCATATAAGCATATTAAGTGTTCTGGGATTCCAGTTATTCTCAGTGTTAGCCATAGGTTGTTGTGATCCACACAAACACCCTTCGCATAGTCAATAAGACACTCTCCCTGGGACCTACAGCTCTGGGAGCAAGCTGTGCTTTAGGAAGTGTTTCAGCTCAGTTTTGTGCACATGGGAGCTCCAGAACCACTGATCCAGACACTGTGCTGCTTGACATTAGCCACCTATGAGCATTTCTTAGATATTGATGTTCTTACTGTGCAATTGCCACAATGCCGGCTCTGGCTTGGGAAGAGGTGTGAGAATCCACATTCCCTACCAACTGCAGGTGATGCTGATGCTGCCTACGCTTTGAGAAGCGAGGTTAAGATCCAAACCAAACTGGCTGCTGGGGACTCCAGCTCTGTAGATGCTACAGGACAGAGCAGAACTGTCAGATTGTCCCAGGCTGAAAATCTTTATGGAAGTATACTGGCATTGCTTCTCCCAGGGAGCAGCTAGCTGATGGGTTCAAACTGCTAACATTTCCATTAATAGCTGAGCACTTTGCCTATGAGGCCCTAGCAGGGTGCCTGGGAGCTAAGATCACTCATTCAATATGATTAAGTTGGGTGCAACTAAAAAGGGACCCTATAGGACAGAGGACAACTGCCCATTGGGTGGGTTCTCAGGCTGTAAATCTTTACAGGAGCAGGCTGTCTTATCTTCCTTGTGCAGAGTGGCCAGTGCATTCAAACTGCCTGCCTTTTTTGGCTAGCAGTCCAAGGCTTAGCCTAGAGTTCAACCTGGGACCTCTGGACCTAAGACATGCATTGATGTTGAGTCAATTCTGACTGAAAGCCACCATTGGGTTTTCTAGACTGGATGTCCTTAGAGGAGCAAACGGCCCTTTCTTCTTCCTCAGAGCACTTGGTGGATTGCAACCACTGACCTTTCAGTTGACAACTCAACGTGTAACTCACACCATCACGTGGGCTCCTGGGGATTCAAGGCGACTCACTCACTCATTTCCATTGGGTGGGAACTGACCCATAGCTAACCCCTCAGTGGATTTCGGTGGCTGCAAATTGCAGAGATTGCCCTGAGGAGCCGCTGGTGCATTTGGCCTGCCAGAGGCCCCACCTTTAGGTTGGCAGCTCAAATGCCTACAAAGTAGATGACCAGAGCCCTCTGGGATCAAAGAGAAGTGTTTCCAAAACGGGTTTGATGCTAAGACCCACCCGAGGTGCATATGGAACCTTCTGTGGCCACACTGGAGACCCACTGGGCAGGCAGCTCGGGTTCAGAACCTCTGGTAGCCTGAACCCTCCAGCAGCTCTGAAGGGAGGGATGGCCACACTTCTCTTGAGGAACTTACTCTCTGAAAACCCAATGGAGAGGGTCAGCTATCAGTTGTTTCTGACTTGATGACAATGAGTTGGAGGTGTTTCAAAGAGGCCAGCTTTGACCAAAGGCTCCAGCTGACATGCTCTGCAATCTCTCTCCACATTTGCAGAAGCTACATTCCCAGGACTACTCAGCCAAAAAAAAAAAAAAACAAACCAAAAACAACAAACAAGGTTTCTAAGACGAAGCCAATCCAGGAGCTGCTGGACTTTGCTGATGACTGGCTCAGTGGACTTTCTCCTAAGCCCTCCACCCACCCACCCACCTTGCCCTCTCAGTTCATGTCTTTGTTCGCCTGTTAAGTCAGAAGGGAATGGTCTCACTCACCAGTCATTGTAGTCACTACTCCAGGTGGGGTCCTCTCTTACCTGGGTGCGGGAAATAGCCTCCTCACCAGTCTGTGTGTGTCCACTCTTACCTTGTTGGTGGCCAGGGGGCATAAAGATGTAAATCAGAGCAGGAAGAGACCTGGAAGCTTCCGACCTTCCCTCCCTCGCTCCTTCACTTGGGGTTGGACTTGCACCTCATCTGCCAGCTCTCCCAATTTTCTCCAGTGCCCTGTTTTATGTCATAGGAACTTCTTATTAACATCCTTGCATGTTTATTCCTGTCAGCATCTGCTTTTCAGAGGACTCAAAGGCTGGCAGATCTTTCCATAGATAGAGCTAGCAAGGTTGAGCCAGGTCAGCTAAGATCCCTCAATGATAGGTGCTGAGTCTAAAGAGACCCTGATGGGTTGGAGCAAAGGAGCAGGGAATGAGGGGAACCTGGACACTCTCAAGAGTTTGCAGCTCACAGTGATTATTACTGCTGCATGAGGTACATTATCAGGTCCAAGGTGATGAGACCACATAAAAATGGGTGTGACTTCTGACCACCTCATAGGAAGGTGGCAATGGGCAATGGGGATGCTGATATAGAAGCCCCTCCAATTCTCTCAGTAGGGAGTGAGGTCGGCTACAGGGAGTCTACTGTGTCATCGTTATGTGCTGTCGAGGTGACTACGACCCATAGCAACCCAATGAACAATGGCTCTGAACTCTGCCCTATCCTGAGCCAACCTCACACTAACATTACCTGACCCCACTGCCACACTCAGTCTATCCATCTCATCCATGGTCTTCCTCTCCTGCACTGACCCTCTGCCCTTCCAAGCATGACGTCCTTCTCCAAGGACTGGCACTATGTCCGAAGTATGGGAGAGGGGATTTAAAAATTCTTGCCTCCAAGGAACAATCTGGTTTCACCTTCTCCAGGAAAGACCCATTGTTTTCTTGGCAGTCATGGTTGGTAGGCAGGATCTTGTAAAATTGAGGGTGAAAGAATTGTGTGGAAATAAAAATCTGGCAAGAGTTGTGATGATAAAAAGACTGGAGGGTTACGATGGAGAAATAGCAGAAGTGGGAAGATGCTGTAAGACTCAAGGCCATGAGGTGGTCTCTGGGATTTTATACTGTTCATAGGAAGTCATTAAGAGAGTTTTGCACCAGTCATTTATTTCCCACTCTGATTTACCTCTTCACAACCATTCTGGCCATTAACAGGGTTAAGAGTGGACACAGGAGGCTACTCCATCATCCAGACAGAGATGATCTAGTGTAGTGAGTACAATGACAGGTGGGTGAGAGAATTTCCCTCTGACAACTCCATTCCTCCTAAAGAATGAACAAAGACATCAACTGAGAGCGCTGGATGGAAGGGATCCTGCCTTCAGACAGAAAAGAAGGAAGTTCAAGGACAAGTCATAAACACTTTTTAAAATCCTTATTAACATAAGCAAGAAGCCTTAAACCTCATTGCACTGTGTGAACACTGGCTATTAAGACTTATCTTTGATAGTATTTTTCTTAAGTCATTGTAGTTTATATTTTCCTTGAAAGAAGAGAACTATCTTGTACTGTCCAATAACTACTTCCTTTTTCTACTCACCAGTTCCCTTCTGGATGTGACAGCAGTTGCTGTTACGAAGTGAAATTTGCTTCCCAAAAGATGGTGATGCCCTAACCCCTGTGCTTACGAACAGGATCCTGTTTGGAAATTGTAGAGGTTTTTTTATGTTAATGAGGTGATACCAAAGTAGGGTGGGTCCAAAACCTAATTCTTTCTGAGTGGCCTCTTGTAAGAATGGACACAAAGGAGGTCACACACAGGCAGAAGAGACCACCTGAGACCCCAGCTGCAAGCCAAGGCAGGCCCCAGGCTGCCTGCAGGGAAAGCCACCCCTGCTCAGCACCGAGGCTCTTATTTGGACTTCCGGTCTTGAAACTATACATGTCTGTACTTGAAGGCCACCCATTTGTGACACTTTCGTTATGGCAGCTTTAGGAAACCCTGCCCATCAAAACCCCCTGGGTTTTCAGCTTTGTAAAATTCACTGCCTTTATAGATCTGCGCATCCACAAATAGCACACATACATAGTCCAGATGACAAAACAGCTTTGACAAATATTTGCCTTTTTAAACAAAAAGTGTGCCATATGTTTTTATTAAATCATAGAAAACTCATTTGTATACAAATTCTTCTACTGTGGAGACACTGGAATATTAAACAGCTGGGGTAACAGAACAGTTGAAAGATATATCTCATTTCAAGCAGAGATAAGCATTACGATGTCACATTTTTAAAATATAAACAACATAAAACAAAGTAAAATTGAAATAGCTGGTAACTAGCTCATGGCTTGACTTTTTTTTTTCCTTTTCACTTTGAGTTCAGAGGAATAAGATCTCTTACAACCTCCAATTTTCCATTATTCACATCAATCATAAATTTTAAAGATGGCGAATTTGAACTCTGAATACAAAATCACTCTCTTTTCTCCAACCTCAGGCTTTTAGAAGACTGCCAATGCTGCATTTCAGGAGATGGTGCTGGTTCACATGACTCAGTGTCCTTTCTACAACAGCAATGCATACAACAGTGCAGGTATCCTGTACCTTGTCGCACACGCTCCAAATATTAACATAAACAAACTTAAATAGTATCAAAATGATTTTTAAATAAATTGAAAACCACTATTGTGGAAATGAATGAAATATGTCCCCCCTCGCTTCCTGAACTTGAGCTACAGATTAAGAATTAGCACGGAACATGTCAGAGGCCAACCAACTTCCTCTGAGGACTCCCTGGAGTAACATGAGACCTGTAGAATTGAGGATAAAAAAAGAAAAAGAAAAACAAAAAGCAACTCTCCGCTCCAAATGGAGGGATGGTCTCAAAAACATCATTTCCCCCAAATCCAAGGTAGGATTTATACTTGGTAAAGGAGGAACTGAAAATGGGCTGTTTGGGGCTGGTCTCTCTCCCCAGGGGACAGACTTCTTCCCGGCACACACATGATCTTTAATACTGCAGGCTTCCCTTCCAGTCCCTTTCCTCCAGGTCCGGGACCCCTGCTGACCTGTTGACCTGGAGCTGCCCCAAGGAACATGTAAACAAATCTGGGGAAAAGTGAGTTTCTGTCAGTTTTGCTTTGCCAGTGAAAAAACCTTCTTGCACTAAGAAAAGTAATACTAGAAAGGGCTGCCCCAATGTCAACCTCCACAAAGTTTTTCTCTTGCTTCATCCTGTTGTGGAAAATGAGAAAGTCAAGTCAAATACTTTTTCAGCTTGCTCTGCCCCAAGTGGTCCTGAACAAGACGAGGGACATTTCTTTGGACTACTTTATTCCTGAATGACAACGAATGCCTCCCCAAGCCTCCTGGTCCGCCATGCTGTTATGGGAGGTGACCTGGTGAGGCAGCCAGGCTCTTGTGCAGGTTGGGGTTCTGGCTGTGCCTATTTCGGCTGCGCACAGAGGAAAACATGGTGTTGCAGCCCGGCACCTTGCACTTGTGGAGCTGGCGCAGGTGGACCGTTTTGTAGTGGGCCCGGAAGGTCCCTTTGTTACTGTACATCTTTTGGCAGAGGTGACAGGTGATGGGCAGCCCAGAAGGCAGGCTGGCCAGGCTCTGGTCGGCCTTCTCCATTAGGACGCAGATGGGGTAGCCGTCTTCCCCTGCGATGAGGCTCGACCCTTCACAGTTCCCGTCACTGTCCTCCATGAGCATGCTGCCCTCCTCGCTCACCCCGTCAGAGTCCCAGGAGCAATGACTGCTGCTCTCCGACTTCATGCTCGAGGTAGTGCTCAGATCGAGAATGGTGCCCTCACTCGGGGGACCGGGGTTGTAGCTCTCCAAGCCGGCACTGTGCACCTGGGTAATAGGGTAAACCAGGCTGCCCATCCGACTCGTTCCCTTGAAGATGACGGACGTCTGGGAGGCTTCCTGGCTGAATGCCACATCCTGATAGGCCTCCTTGGCCACATCTTTCAGAAGGTAAGCTGCATGGAAGTGGTCTTCACTGCCCTCCAGTGCTTCTGGGGTCAAAACTTTCTGGTGGAGACTCAGGTTTGAACTGTGTCTGAAAGAGTGAAAAGAGAGTTAGCAATGAGTGGGGCTACTGCTTTAAAAAGAGCCGTAATTCTGAGTGGAGATCAGACTAGCGGGAGTGCTGCTAAGGGATTCAGGCCCATCCTGGGATACAGTGGGTGTCCAGGGGGCACGAGCCACTGCCATTCACCCCCTGTCAGAAGGAAGACATCACCAGACAAGCCAATGGGCTGTACATCTGGGATATGTGTATCTTCTCAACATCATCCGATTGACGTGTGACTTCAATTAGGCCAGTTCACCGGGAACACGGGCGTCGAGGTTCCCAGAAGAAAGCTGGACACGACTATCAGAAACTAAGCAGAGGACTTCACATTCACAAGAACAGAAGTCTTGTGAGTGGTGCAAAACAGAAGGCTTGGGGTTCAGGCTGACCCAGAAGTTATTGAGAATAAGTTTCATAATGTGAAAAATAAGCCCTTTAACATCCCCCCCGCCCCCCCTGCCTGTGACAGTTCTACACCGACACACACGGGCCCACCATGAGTCCATATAACTCATCAGGAGATAGCATCTTCTAGGGCAGCACTGGCCCGGGCCCTGAGCCACCAGCCCCTCCCCACTCCTGAGCGCTCAGACTGTGACTCGCATTGCCTATCGATGTGACAGTAATTTGGATACACTGAATTAAAGGAATTGTATTCTTTAATTTTATTTCACAGTTTGTTGTTTTTGGGTTTTTTTTAAATGTAATTACTTCGTATCGTATATCTGACTAACCCAAACTCAAGAGAAAATTTACAGGGCAGATAACTGCCCCATTGCTATACATCTTCACATGAGCAGATTACCAGTCTTTTCACTGCTGCTGAGAGCTGCTGGAGGTTTTGAACTCTCTATCTTCTGGTTAGCAGTAAAATGTTTTAACCACTGCACCACCATAACTACTTATGTGGTAACAAGAAAACATGCTATATGGGGTCTGGAGCACATTTATATTGGACAGGGCTGGTCTGGAGCATTTGTGTACTTTACCCCAGAAGATCTACAGCTGTGGGGAGAAATCAGGCCAGATACTGTCCGTGTGCATGCGTGTGTATGTACAGAGTCTGGTTTATACCTGCAACATTTCACTATATACCAGACAGAAGTTTTGCAAACGCATCACTGTGAGTATACCATCAGATCTTTTACCCAATGATTACTCCTGAAGGGAAGATAATAAGCATCCATTATGGAACGTGCCTTTTGCTGGTATGATATGATTTGGATATACCCTGTCAATCAAACGCTTTGCTCAGCTATCTGCAGGATAACTTCCGACAAGCAAAACTAGCCCTTACCAAGGAATACAATCTGAAAGGTGACAGGAAAATTATGCCAAAGAGGAAATATATCTAATCTCACCCCCACACATATCAGAACACACGCCAAGGTCATACTGAAAAAAAAACACCTTCAGCAAATAACTAAGACAACATTTTTTTCGTCTACATCTCCAAAAATGTGTGTGAAGTGTGGGAATCTAATTTTAAAAAATGAAAATCTGAAAGGTTTACTCCTCAACTTTTATCTTCTAGACCCTTACACATTCTTTTCCTGTCACAATCAGAATTACACTCCCAGATCAGCCATTCTGTAAGCTCCCTTTTCAGCTGCAGCTCTGCCCTGTGATTATGTCAGCATATGGGGTAGAAGGGGGTGATGTGTGTCGGCAGAAAACCAGACACTAGACTGACATACAGATTCCAGTACATACGAGTGGTTAAGAAAGTAAACCAGACAAGCCCATTTACTGCAATCTTGTGCTGAAAGGGCCGTGTGCTCCATGAATACCAAGAGGTAACCTGTGGGCTTCTCTGTTCCCTCCAATTCCCAAGATGTCATGTCCCCTAAGACTTTAAAGGCCACATAGCCCATGTGCCAGGATTTCTGCTTCCATGACTCTGCTAACGCTGTGCCGAAGCCTTGTCAACTTCTACCACATCCCTTAGGTCTTCCCCTCCCTAGCTTCTATTTAAATCTGAAGTTCGCACAGTGTAATCTGAGTACTCCAAGTCATCCCTAAGAGTCTTTCAGGGAGGTCCCCAAAGCCAACACTGTTTCTATAGCACTCCTAAGGCACTGTCTGCCTTTTCCATTCACTCTCTCATGAGCATATAGTGCAGTTCCCAGCAGTCCTCTGATAAGTGACATCACAAAAGTTTGACTGCAGAAGCTGGTACAAAACTCCAGCTGTCTTCTGTTAAGACTGACATGAAAGGCATTTTTCAAAACATAAAATAATGCCACGCTTCTCATGGTTTTGGAAAATGCGCTAATTTTGCATAAAAATATATTTATGTCAACATACAATTTCTTATTATTCTTAAGAGCTACAAATAAATAATTTGGAAAGGGACATCTGGAAAGGGGAGGTTCAGAGAGAGAGAGGAAGACCCTCAGGGGGACAGACTGACACAGTGACTGCAGCAATGGGCTCAAATGTCAGGGATGGTGAGGATGCTATTTGGATGGGACAGAGTTCAATCTGTCCCAATTCACAGGGTCACTCTGAGTTGTACTCAACAGCAGCTGACAACAACAATAAACAAATGGTTAAGGGTTTTTATTTAACTTCTAATATGGAAAATGGAGCTCTGGTGGCCTAATGGCAAGAAGCCGTACTGCAATCCTGAAGGTACGTGGTTTGAGGCCACCAGCTGCTCCGGGGGAGAAGGATGGGCAATCTCTCCTGTGTGACTAACTGCCTCTGAAAACCTGCTGAAGGGTCAGGTATGGGTTGGTTCTGACTTGACAGTACACAACGACAATAATATGGAAAATACTGATAGAATCAGACCAAACAAGACAAAAAAAGTACTGAAAGGGCCTCAAGTTTTAAGAGTCTGTAAAGGAGTCATGAGACTCAGACATGTGGGAGCTGCTGGTTTAGACAGTCTTCTCTAAGGAAGCCTGCTCGAACTTCCCGAAAAACCTGGTTAGGTGCTGTCCCGTCTGTCTACTGTGGCCCGCAGGGCCCCATTCTAACACTCTCTGAATTCAGTTGCAATTACCTGTGGATCCATCACACTGAAAGTCTCTGTGGGTAGGGACTGTGTCCCCCAGCATCTTACACAGAATGCTCATGTTACACATCTGCTGGCTAAGTGAGCATCCAGGGTGCTGTCACAGCTCCTTCTGATGTTGGCAATAACAGTGGCTCCAGAAGGGATAGTCACTTGTCCTTCTATCCATGTAATTTTCACCTTTTACTCAAGGAAATGGTGGTGGGCTCAGACTTGCTCACCATGGCCTATCTAAAAATGGTACCAGCTTTATTACAAGGTCATTGGTAAAATGCATTACAGGTTGTTTTTAGTTGGAATACCAGAAGCCTTTCTGTGGTGGGAGAGAAGAACTGTAGCTACCATTTAGATAAGGAAATATTAAATATCTAGAAAAAAGTATCTTGAATTCAGTATGCCTTCTAACTTGGCAGACACAGTTGGCTAAGACAGCATCCTAAGTACCAAGGATGGTCTCACTGATCTGACAACATCTTCTTCATAGAAACCAAACCTGCTGCTGTGGCTCTGAAAATAACAGTGATTCTACAGGGCAGAGCAGAACTGACCCACTGGGCTTCCAAGGCTGTAGTATTTATGGAAGTAGACCACTGAGGACTAGGAATGACAGAAAGAAAACTGATGCCTTTGAGTTGTGCAGCTGGAGAAGAGTACTGAATATACATGGATCTCTAGAAGAACAAACAGGTTCATCCTGGAGAGGGTGAAACCAAGCTATTCCTTGAAGGCAAGGATTCTGAAGCTCCATCTGACATACTTTGGCCATGCTGTAAGGAGGGACCAGTCCTTGGAGAGGGGACATTACTCTGAATTGACTCCGTGACTGGCGTAATGGGGGTAGGTGTGTCAGAGACAATGAGATTGGCTCAGGATAGAGCAGGGTTCAGGGCTGCTGTACATAGGGTCACTATGAATCACAGGCAAAGAACAACAACAGACCATCAAGTCTTTCTTCTGTGAAACAAACAATAGGGCATTCAACCCCCCAACCTTTCAGTTAGCAGCCCAGCCCTTAAGAGCTCCCCTGTCTTACTGAACAAAGTGGTTTATCCATGCATAACACTACTCTGTTTAGAAGGCTTGGTTCACTAACTAGGACGGTTATATACCATCACGTTGGAATGGACTCACAGCTGACCCGCCTGCGGATTTTCAGAGGCGGTAAATCCCATGGGAGGAGATGGCCCATCTTTCTCGGGCGGAGCAGCTGGTGGATCTGGACCTCACGCAGCACAGCTCCATACCACCATGCCACCAGAACTCCCCTGAACTAGGATAGGCTGGTGGTTTTAATGAATATTATCTACGCACATTCCTCCTCAGGAGAGATAGTGTACATTCCCAAGAACCTTGTTTACAAATATGTGTGGGAATCTGTGGTGTGTTTTTTTTTTTCTTTCTCTTTAATACATTTTTTTCCCCAATGCTGTTGAGGAGGAATCAAATCATATCCAACCCTCCATTGCCTTTCCAATGCTGTAAATCACATGAGAGGAGATCTCCCAAGCAGCGTCTAGTGGATTTGAACTGCCAGAGAGGCGTGGCCTTTGAGTTAGCAGCACCGCTCCATCTGGACATTGAAATCTGGACCAAGTCAGGTGCTGCTGAAGTGCTTAAAGCTATGCAACTTGCTTAAAATGCTCAAAAGCAGCAGGATCTTGAGATCTATGAAACATTTTAAAAAAACTTCTCAAACTCACTGCCACCTGACAGTGACTCCACACCAGGTTTCCAAGACTGGGAATATTATCAAGAAGAGACTGCCATCTTCCTTAGAGCCACTCCTGGGTTCAAACTTGTGAAGAAGCACAGTCTTTTGGTTAACAACACAACGCAAATAACACTTCATCAGATCCTTTCACTAAGACTTGGGGCGGGGGAGGGGGGAATGATCCTCTTTGTTATGCTGACTGTTCTCTGATAGGCTGGGGAAGAAGTGACCTGCATATCAGTTAAGTGTCTCATACATTAGCATTTGCCAGGTGGTAACCACAGCACCAGCCTTTGGCCTGCTGGAGTGATGAGATAGATACACTATATACATGAACATTTGTAAACGTTTGTCATTTAAATCCCGTACCAACAAACTTCTTACCTCTCAACTACGTATCACAAATTCTGAAGCAACCTAACAATTGCCTTTACTCTTTCACCTGGTGCAATAGTGACAGATTTTTGATGGCTAAACAAAAGGGCAGTAGTCCAAATCCACAAGTTGCTCCTATTTGACAGTCCACTTCCCTATAGATGTATAGCTTTGGAAACGCTATATAGTTCTGCTCTGTCTTACAGGACTACTATGAGCTGGGATCAACTCCATGATAGTGGGGGGTTTTATTGTCTCCCTCTACTACAATCTTGGTATTTAGAAAAGCCTCTGGTTAGCAGCATTATATTCACCATTGTAAGAACACAGAAACAGCCTAGATGTCCAATCACAAACGAATGGATTGAGAAATTATGGTACATTCACATAATGGAATATTATGCAGCATACAGGAGCAAATATTTTGTAAATTATTACCTAACTTAGGAGGGACTGAACAGCATCATGCTGAGTGAACTAACTCAGTCCTACAAAGGACAAATATTGTATAAAAATCAATGAGTATAAGGATCCAAGGTGGGGGGAGGGTAGAAGCAGAGGGATGAGGATGTGCAGGGGGTGGGGGATTAATCATGGAGTTGTACAACTTGATAGGTGGAGGAGTGATGGAAACTGGAAGAATCTATTCTGGCAAACAATGTAATTCAATTTTGTAAATAAACTAATATAATAAAAGAAATAAATAAAAAGAAGTTAACCTTACTTTCAATTATAGACCATTAACCAGAAAGAAGAGAAAATGTTTCACTTGATGCATCTCCCTGTTATGAAAAGAAAATCAGGTATGTCTTAGGAGGCTGCAGTGATGATTTTAAATGTTTCCTCCTTTCTCCAAGCAGTTCTCTTGTATCCAAGCTGCTAATGTGAGTAATAGTTTACAATTCCTTATCCCAAACCCATGGGGCCAGCTGTGTTTCAGAATCTGTCATACTTCAGGAAGGCAGATACTGTAATATGTTGCATACCCCCATGACTAACCCATTAGCACTCCTATAGGGACAGAATATAAAAATTCACACCAAATGGGAGTAAAAACGAAAGACAAATGGCCTCACATCATGTCAGGTCAGTCTGGTGGCCAAATGAGTTTAGACCTTGGAATTGAAAGTTCAAAACTGTGAGTCTGTAAAAACAGGTTTCTCAAATAGTGGTTGAGCAGCAACCATCAAGGGCTGTGTCAGAACTCACTCCAAGCTCTAGGTGTCGGCCGAGCTCAGCTGAAGCAGAGGCTCGGCGGCTGGGCCCAGCAGGCTAGGTTTACACCAGCCCTCTCTCTGGGTGTTTCGGATGGACATTCAAGCTGAAGAACCACAGTACCTGTAAAGCAATGATAAGCAGCAGGCTCCTTACCTGTCTCGGCTCCGCCGGGAAGGGAAGGCGGCACTGCACCCCTCCACCGTGCACAGGTGCGTTTCTTTGGCATGCATGTTCTTCTGGTGCATTTTCAGACTGCTAGCGTTTTTAAAGGTCTTCTTACAGATATCACACGGGAAGCGGTTTTCTTCCTTCTGCCTCGCTAACACATGCTGACCCACCTGCTCCAGTTCTTTAGACTCTTCGAAACAAGGAAAGGTCATTCCCCTGTTGGACAGTGCACTGAAGAGGCCCCCAGCCAGCAGCCGCTGCTGCAGTTTGATGTAGTCAGGAAAGGGACCCAGGGGCTCCATGCCAGCGGGGAGGTGGTAGTCACAGCCACTGTCCTCCACCTCCCTTGGCATCAAAGTCAACACTGACTTCTGCTCAGCCTCCTTCTGCAGGTCAAGCGTGGCCTGCTCAGGGGTTCGCTGGATGATTCTACTGGACTCGATCACTGATTTGAAGTGGTGGGCTTCCTCTCCTTCAGGAAGGGGCTTCCCCATGAGTGTAGACTGTGGGTGCTGTTCCTCCGATGCCCGGTCTGACCCAGGGCTGTAGGCCTCAGGCTCGTCCTCGCTGACCACCTGCAGCGGCATGTCTTCATCCGAGCTGGGGGGATGCCTCTTGTCGTTGGCGATTGCCACAGCTTCCTTCTCTATTTTGATAGGCATACTGGACTTGCGGGATTTCTTTTTGGGAAGGGTATCGAATGGTATGTCATTTGAAACCAGCTGTTCCGGGATTGAAGAGGACAAGAGGGGGAGAGAAGGCAGCATCCCCGGAGTGTTGGCCAGCTCAGCTGGAGTGGCCGGGCTGCGGTAGAAAGGGAGGACTGGCTGGACTGTCTTCAGGTTGGGAAACAGCACTCCATTGTGCCCGATGCTAGAGAAAGCTGGTAGGCCTTTGGGATCCTCCCCTGAGCCAGGGTAGCCAGGGAGAGGCCTACAGTCTGGGGGGGTCACAGTGAACACTGGGCGCTTGTAGTTGTCGGTGGCGGCCAGGCTCAGACTGTTTCGAAGATCTTTGTCCCGGTTGTTTCGGTTCATCGGCATGTGCAGCCGGGGGTTGGGGTTAGCACTGTGGCGGTTCCGGCTCCTCAGGGAGCTGAACACCATGTTACAGCCTTCGATGGTGCACTTGTGCTTGATCTTCAGGTGCACAGCATTGTAGTGGATCTTGAGGGTGCCCTTGTCATAGAAGGTCTTCTCACAGGCTGTGCAGAACACTCGACCCTTTTTTGCACCCAGGCTGTTCCTGTCAGGCTTCATTTTGGCCTCAGGGGACAACTGTGTCCTTTCCAGCTTGGCAACAATGTTATATGAGCTGGAGTCACTTAAATGGGCACTATCTTCCTTCTGACTGACAGTCTCTGGACAGTTTACACATTGCTCCTTCGCTATCTGAAACGGCGTGGAATCGGAAGTCAAGAAGGTGCTCTCGGGGAAGCCCTCGTGGATTTCCTGCTTGGGGTTATGACTCTGGTCCTGACCTTGCTCCGGCATGAACTGTTCCGGCAGTGAGCCTATCAGGGCAGGGGGTACTGGGTTGAAGAACTGGAAAGGCAACATGAAAGCCATATTGTTTATGAGGTTCTCGAAGGGGTGGATGCTGCTGGGGCTTCCTTTGTCTACCGGGGTGGAGAGGCTGGCGCTCCTGTGGCTGCAGCTCTCCAGGAAGGCTCTGATGTCCACGTTTGCTGTGGAAGGTGGTATGATGATGGCCTGCTCTTCCTTCTCTTGAATTGCCATGAGCTCCACTATGGACTTGGTCTCTCCAAAGCGGAGGAACTGCTGCAAGGTGGCCACTTCTTCCTCACTGGTCATGATGCTCCAGTGGTCCAAAACCTTTCCTGACGCGTCCTACACCAAACCACAAAGGAACACATGGTCACTTTACTGTTCCATAAACTTTGTGCTTAAGAAATAGACTCTTACTATCTTATAAAGCACCTCTGTGTCTGTTTCAAAAATGATGCCCCCTCTATGAGCACAAGAGTTGGTAAATCCAGTTTTATTCACCCACTCTTCTCAACCAGAAGCTTTGTACAGAGAGTAAATGGAGCAAAGTTCTGTCACTTAAAACCAACTGACCAAGTCTGGTGCTTATTTTTCAACATACTTTAAACCCATGGGTTTTCTGATATTATTGCTGTTGTGTGTTGTTAAGTCAATTCTGACTTACAGTGATTTTACAGGATGGAAAAATAATGGCTCTATAGGGGTTCCTTGGATGTGGTCTTTATACAAAAGCAGATTTTTGCTTATTTATTTCATGAAGTAGCTAGTGGGCTCAGACCACTGACCCTTCAGTTAGCAGCTAAATGCTTATTCACTGCACCACCAGGGCTCCTTTATTTTATATTAGGCATAATCATTTTCCCACTAAAATTGAAACAGGTCTAACTCTGAACAATGGTAACTTCTTAATATAAAGAGTGTAAACAGAGAAATAAGGCCTAGGTGAATCTCAAGTATTTATTTGCTATAGGCTTAATAATCTTCCTTGGCAACCAACATCAGAAAACAAATGAACGTGTATTGATCTATTGCCTTGTTCACAAAACAGAGCTGTAATTACACTGGCGTGTTGGAGGTCTTTCAAACTCTAGCCAGGTTTAACTTTTCCTAAAACTACAATAAATATTTTATCACAGAACATGTATTTGATGGCCTACTGAGATTTTTCACAGTGCATGTAAGAGTTTCAAAGATGATGAAGAATGTAACATCATAAATTTTTCATGCAATAGAGGTTGAAGGTAATTGATTCCATATTTTTAATCCTAACACTAGAAAGCAAGATTATCAGGTTCATTAAATATTGATCTATGTCATAATGTAAGATCATAATGCTACTCTACATAAAAGGTTGTTTCAAGACTGCTGGGGGGTTCCACATTCAAGGAGAACGAACATTTTCCAGGGTAAGACTGTGGGATTTCAAGTTAGAAAAAAACAAGTTCAAATCCTGGATCTGCTACATCCTAGGTGAATAAGAGCCTGTAAGATTTAAAATACCTCAAGCCTCTCATTTTTCCAACCTGAAAATGGGGATAAAATGTTTACTACTTAGTAAGACTCCTCTGAGGACTAGGTATGATGTGCACAGAGTCTAGGAGAGGATCCAAGTTATTAATGGTTATTATTAGTGCTCATTTTAACAACATGCCATTCTTACTGAAGACTGAAATCTGTGTTGCTCTGAGAAATGCCTTCACATTACCTCATTTCAATAAAATTGCTACCAAAATTACCTGACACTTTCTAGTGTATGGACAAGGAAACAATTCTGTAGCTATTTCATAAGTTAGAAGAATTATCTAATTCATGTCAGGAAATACACTTGGGGAAGAAATCTTGGTGGTTTCTTTGTATATGAAGTAGGAGGCCTATTTGATCTAGAGAGGGAAGCAGAGATACCATGAACAATAAAGAGAGGAGAGAGGATACGGAGAGGTGTGGAGAAGAAGAGTGTGAAGGAAGAGGGGTTTTCAATGGCTGGTTTTAAAAACAGATTTCAGGCCTTTCTTCTGAGAAGCCTCTGATAGACTACAACCTCCAACTTTCTGGTGAGCACCCATGCATGTTAACTATTTTGCAAATACATCCATCCAGAAACTCTGTTATCTATAGGTAGCTTGATGATAATAATGGAAACAAGAGGTAGCCCCCCCAGATGGAGCAAATGGTTTACTACAGAAAAGCTGTTTTTGTGACACCCCAATCAATCAGAGAATATATAAACATCTTACACACTGGAGTTTCACAGAATCATGACTAAAACACTAAATTCTCCTCAGAAGATAAAGTAGGAGCTTCAAACCATTAAAATAATATTAAAGGGAAAAATGACCACCCATGGCTGCAGTACTACTGACATGCAAGTGAGTTCTTTAAGTTTCATGGACACACTTCCAGAAAGCTTTCTAGGGTAGGGCCTTGTACCTGAAGCACATAGCCACGAATGTAATCCTGAAGGGTCCAGTCCAAGGCGTGGAGAATCTGGAGGACTTCATCCTGCTTCAGCACACTGAAGAGTCGGTCCAGCAGGATTTTCAGACGAACAGGAATGGCCTGGGTCCCATACAACATGAGGCTGCTAATATCAAATACCACATTGGACTGGACAATCTCCACCTGGCTTGTGGGGTACACAGGGGGGATCCTCAGCTTACTTAGAGCTGAAAAGAAAAATTGAAGATACATCATTTTGAAGGCTACACTTTGCACACTCAATAAAAAGTAGACACAGCAAACTGTTTTATATCTCCCAGTAGGGGAAAAAAAAAACGATTAACAACCTTAGCTATCAGATCCTCAATTAGTCACAGGAATGCTAAAATTAAAGTTAATGACCATTTTTCTTCTTTCCCTGTAAGGTGGCATTCTCTAAGCAGTGGAATGCCCACAAACAGGGAAGAAATAAAGGGAAAGGGCTAACAATGCAGGCAGCTGGTAGACCCCAGGCTGGAAGGCTGGAGTCCTCACACACCTTACGTAGCAATTTTGATTTAAATTCATTAAAATGAAAACTAGAATTTCAGCTCCTCCAGCCACATTAGTCACATTTCAGGTCCTCAGAAGTAGGTAGAGTAGGGTTCTTAGACAAAAATAAAGGATACCCAGTAAAATGTGAGTAAGAATTTCAGCGACACAAGTGGGCTAAGTGACTAAGTGGATATCCTTATATTAAAAAAAATTTTAAAAAATCACTGAGATCTACAACTTAAAACTGTTCTCCTTTTTTATCCTAAATTCATATTTTCTCTGGAAGTTATCATATTTGTCTTCACAGGTCATTTTTTACTGGAATGACAGGGATGAAGTTCGAGCTGTTAATTCTTCAGAATGGGGCTAATAAAACAGCACAGGATTAGTAAGATTAAAAAATACATCACATGTAAAGTTCTTAAGTGCATTATCTGGCACACAGCAGTGACCTATAAACGTTAGTATCATTCTTAGGAATTTAAAAACCTACTGCTATCAGGTAAATCCCGAAGCACAGGACCCCTGTAGGATGATGTACAACTTCCCCTCGGACTTCTGGCTGTAGCTGTAAATCTTCAGGGGAACAGACTGCCTCGGCTTTTTCACAAAGAGCAGCCACTGAATTTCAGCCACTGAGCTTTGGGTTAGCAGCCCAACTCTTAACCCACTATCCCACCAGGAGGGCTCCATGAGGGCCTGAAAAACTAGAAGTGCTTAAAGGGAACAATAAAAGCAAAAAGAGGAGAGATGATAAAGTTACCATGGGCCACCCAGCCATGCCTGCACTGCTCACACTGCCGGTGATTGATTTTCCCTGGTTTGAAACTTGGGCAACTGCAGTTCATCGTACAGCCAATAGCCTGCAAGAGAGAAAGAGAGAACACGGGTATGTGAGAACCTGGGTGATGTATAGGGCACTCACTACGTTTATGAAGCAAAACATGCTCCTCCATGCAACAATATCCCTTGAGCAATGTGTACACATTTTGTGCCAGGCCCAGAGAGGTATCTTTGCCCTGGGAAGAGGAGCAGGCTGCTTGACACCAGGAGACCATGAATACACAGCTACCAGGCATTTGAGATTGGACTGAAAATACCAGGACTTTTTATTCGCAAAGATTATCCGTGACAAGGTAACATCTAGCTCTATTATTAAGTGAACAGTCACACTGGCACCAAAGCAGCAATCCTCAAAGATTTTACAGACAACTCTGAACAAGTGAAAAGAGAGGACTGTGTGAACCACGAGTAATCCACAAGTGGAATCTGTTATACCCCCAAAATATGAGGCTGAAAATTTGAACAGATCTGAGGAGATGGAAGTCTGACTAGGAGTCACTGAGTTACTAACAGGAAGTTTTGTGTTTTGAATGAGCCAAAACTGACTTGGAAGAAAGGCCTGGCAAACTTCCTCTCAAAGTCGAGTTTTGAAAACCAAAGAGAACAATACTGCTCTGAACACATGGGGTCACTGTGAGTCAGAACTCACTCACTGGCAACTGCTTTGGTTTCCTGTTTTGTTTAGTGGCTGATTTGGTTCACTGTGTGACACAATTGTTCATGCTCTTCACTGCTAATCAAAAGGTTAACGGTTTGAATCTCTCTAGAGGCATTTCCAAAAGGAGGGGGGCCCTCCCACCCCAAAAACCACCAACCTATCAATTCTGACTCACAGCAACCTTATCAGGCACAGCAGAAATGCCTGCAGGGTTATCTAGGCTGTAAAGCTTTACAGACATGGGCTGCTTCATTTTTCTGAGTGCAACTGGTGGGTTTGAATGGGATTTTTTGGTTAGCAGCTGAATGTTTTAACCATAGTACTACCACCAGAGCCCCAGTAATCTGCTCTTAAAAGATCAGAGCCAACTGAAAACACTATGTGTTCTACTCTGATACACACAGATTGTCATGCACTGGAGTTGGTTCCATAACAACTGCACCAGAGGATTATCCCTCAACGGCAACTCACTGGGCTCTGTCACAGCCAGAAGCTGGCTGGATCAGCCCTCACCACTGACGCCCCAAATGCACACCACAATGCAGTGTTACGTTTGAGGTGTAGGGATGTGGAGTGTAGAGAAATCTACCTATAGTGGAAAAAAAACCCCAACAAACCCCACAGAGATCTACCAGCCTATGAAAGTCCTGGTATTAAGAATAAAGCTTTGCATATATTTTTAAGACGAGTTTCTCAAAAGGAGATAGAGGCCTGAGGAGTGTAATCTATTATTAAGCAAAAGAGCTCTCTCACACAGGCACTGTCAGTGAGGTGCCCTGGAAGAGCCTCTGGGTGGAATCGATGATTCAAGAGTCTGGAAACTGGTGAGCACATGCGTGTTTCAAGGAGGGGCTGGTAAAGCCTACAATTAAGAGTTTAAAACTCAGCCTGACAATTAAGGGATTGTGTGGCCTTGTGCAGGGGACAGGGACCAGGTGAAATCTGGCCAAGGACTTAGGAAACCTGCTTTAAGGAATATACAGCCCATCTCTGTGTGAAAATAAGTTACTAGTGGGATGGTAATATGGCACAGTCATTTTGTTAAATCATCAGGCACCTCTTCAAAACCTAATTCTAAAATTTACCATATAATCCAGAAATTCTCCTCTCCTGTATATATGTAATAGAACTGAGAACCACGTCCATGCCAAGGCTTATACACCGATGTTCACAGACGTATTAATAGCTAAAAAAGTACAAACAACCCAGATACTTATCAGAGTGGATAAGTAAAATGTGGTCTATCTAAAGGAGTAGTCCTTTGATAACAAAGAGGGATGGAATCCCGATATGCAGATGAACCTTGAAAACAGTACACTAAATGAAAGAAGTCAGGTACACAAAGATCACATAATAAATAACTCCATTACACCAAGTGTCCAAAGGAACAAATACAGATTCCAAAAGCAGATTAGTGATTGTCTGGGGCTGTAGGGAATAGACAAGAATGAGGAGTGACTGTGAATGTGGGAGTGGCTTAAGGGTGGGAAGATGTTCTTTTTTCAAAACAATTTTAATCTTTTTAAAAAAAGAAGAGCTTATTGAGATGTAATTCATAGACCACATAATCTACCCATTTGAAGTATAAACTCCAATGACTTTTCGTATATTCAGAGTTGTGCAACTATCACCACAGCCTAACTTTAGAACATTTCACAACCCCCCAAAAAAATCCCTGTGCAGTATGCAATAGACACAGTTTTCATTTCTCTAGGTCACTCCTCAAACTGAACCCACTGGATCATCTGGTGACTCTGTTTAACTTTTTGATGAACAGAGATACTGGCTCTCCAAGAAGCTACCCCATTTTTCATTCCCAGGAGCCCCATATGAAGGTTCCCATGTCTCTGTAGCCTTGTGAATACTTGTTCTGTCTATCCTTTTTATTCCAACCATCCCTGTAAGGACGGATGGGAGCTTTGGGGGCCTGGTGGGTAAGTAGATGTGCTGCCAACCCAAATGCAGACAGTTTCCAGCTATTCCATGGAGAAAGATGGGCACTCTACTCCCGTGGGACTTACAGTGTCTGAAAACCCACCGGAGGGAGAGCCAGGAGTCTGTTTCAATACAATGGCAAGCAGTCTGAGTTTTCAGGTATGATCTTGTATCTCACTGGTTTGGATTTGCATTTTCCTGGTAGAAAGAAACACTGAGCACCTCTTCATGTGATTATGGCTTTGTGTATTTTCTTTGAAGACATATGTATCCAGATTTTTGACCATTTTAAATTTAGGCTGACTTTTTAGCTTGTTACATATCCCAAGTACATCTCTTACTAGGTTTATGATGTGTAGGTTTTTTCCCTCCTGTACTGTTTGTGATCTCATTTTTTTTTTATGGTAACACTACAGTAAGCACAAAAACTTTGCATTTTGACCAATATTTCTTTCTGGAATGAAGACAAGATTCTAAAATTAGACAGTGGTGGTAGTTGCAAACCTTGAAGATTATAGTAAAAGCCACTCAACCGTACACCCTCTAAGGGCAAATCTTCTCGTTTGTGACAGATGCAAATGGGTAAGCACTGAGCTGCTAACCAAAAGGCTGCAAGTACAAACCCACTCCATGTCCTGCAAGAGAAACCTACCTCTGTAAAGACTAAGCCAGGAAAACTCCACAGAGTGTGACTCTATCAACAAGGTTGCTATGAATCAAGAATGACTAGACAGCAACTAATAGCAAAGCTTAAGTACAGTTAAACTTCATTATCTTTTATAATTTATTTCAGATAAACATGGGTTAAAAAAAATGGTGTGCTTTCATTGTTAGGTAGCAGGAGTGGCATCCACTTCCTAAACCACATGCCTCTGGAAACTCTTATCAACTTTGAGAAATTATAGTTATAGAAAGGCTTCAGGTCTTTTGTTCACAGGGTCCTAGGAATCATGCTTGAGTCAATCACAATCAACAACAGCAACAACAACAACTGTCAAGTCAGTTTCAACTTACAGCCACCTTTTGCTAACAGAGCAAAGCACTGGCCAGCCCTGTGTACTGTCACAAGCACTGTTGTCTGAGCTGACTGTTGTAAGGCACTGTTTCAATCCAGCTCATTAAAGAACTGTTTTCTTTTTCATTGACCATGTGCTTTACAGTGAGTATGATGTCCTTCTGACTGACAGGTGGGAAGCACAAGAAGATACAGATTTTTAAGTGGAGGAGAACAGTTTGCAACTGTCTGGTGAAGTCATACTAGAGAGAATGTAATGCAATGTGTGGCATCACGATGCTTTGTTATTCTAACAAATGAATTAGTAGCAGGGTAAGTCATCCCCAAAGGGGTTAAAAACCTTAGCCCTTGGGAAGTGAAAATATTACTCCTTTTATATATAAAGAACAGATATACATATATACATAAACACTATGTGACATACTATTAAAATTTCACAATTAAAACAAAATTCTTAAAAGTGACTTTAGGTCAGAGATGGGGGGAAAAATTGAGAAATGCTCCTCAAAAATTCCAGAAATTACTTTTTTTGGTCAGAATTTCAAACTTGATTTCAATGTTATATATAGTCAATATATACAGTTTTATATAGAACACATATATGTTATAGTTACACATAAATAACATATATAACACACACTATGCTTTTATAGTAACTATATATAACACACTACACATATGTTCTATATAGTCACATATGTACAGACTGGGTGTTCAGACATGGAGAGGAAGGCAGAGGGGCAGCAAAGGAGAGCAAGACCCTCAATCAGGCAGGGTGACTGCAGCAATGGGCTTGAGGGTGTCAGAGACTGTGAGCACGGCATGGGATAGGACAGAGTTCAGACTGGTTGTTGATGGGGTTGCTGTAAGTCACACTTGACTTGACGGCATCTAACAATAACATGCATAAACAAATAACACATACATCTACATATATACACTCAAACAAAAATCACACTCATTACACTCTGAACTGACTTGTGTCGGACCCACTAGGGAAGATTTCTGAGGCTATTAAAAGCACCAGAGGAGACTGCCCATTTTTCTCCTACAGAGTTGCTGCCTTTGGGTTAACAAAGCAACTCCATACAGAATAGGCTATCATATATCATCATACATGTTTTGAATAGAAGTTACAGAATAAATATAATTGCTTAATTTCTACTATAACAGAATCAAAGCAAAGATTTTTTTCAAAGGCTCCAATAGCTTGTTGTTGTTATGTGCCGTCGGGTTACCTGTGAATCACAGCGACCCCACGTACAACAGCTCTGAAGCCTGCCCTGTGCTGAGCCAGTCTCACTGACTCCAACACATGGACCCCCACTGCCCTAGTTATTGTTTCAGTCCATCTCATCTGGGTTCTTCCTCTCCTGTACTGTTGTTCCTCCACCCTTTCGACCAGGATGTCC